CTGCCCTAACAAATATTTGTTGGATTTTAGAACCTAGTATGACTGATTAGATTACTATTCACTAATTCTCAAATTTAATCATGTACAGAAATTATAAAACACTTGTTATCCTTTATTAATTTAAAATATAATCAACAATATAAAAAGCAATGCTGTGTTTTGAGGATATTCTAACTTTTCTTAACTTTTAGTCAGTAAAGCTTTGTAACTGGTTTTCTCTCTTTTTAGCCCCATCGCAGTCACTAAATGCTTTTTTTTTTTTTATTCTCTCTCCTTTTGTTGCTAACAGGCCAAAGAGAAGTTACTATTACAAAAACCAATTGTATTTTTATAATTATACATATATACCAGAAATGATCAGTTGGAAATTGAAATTTAAAAGTATCATTTACAATAACATCAAAAAACATACACTATTTAAATCTAAATCTTATAAGGCAAATGGAAGAGTTATATGCTGAAAAGTAGAAAAAGTTGATAAAATTCAAAAAGACCTAAATAGAGAGATATACCATGTTCATGGATTTAAAGACTTAATATTATCAACATGTCAATTCTTCACAAATTGATCTGTGAAAAAAGAACATTACCTGATTTTGAGACTTACTATGAAGCCTCAATAGTTGTTAGATACAACATAAAAAGCATAATCCATAAAGGAAAAAATTGAATTTCACCAAAATTAAGAACTGTTCTCTGAATGACACTGTTAAGAAAGTGAAACCACAAGCTACAGACTCAAAGAAACTATTTGCATGTCACATATCTAATAAAAGATTGTATCCTTAATATATATATATATATTCATTTTTTACTTATCTGATTTCTTATTAAAATAAGAAATCAGATAAGTAAAAAATGAATAAAAGGACACCAATACAAGTAATGAATGAATTTTATTAGATTAAATTTGGATAAATCTCAATGTGTTATGCTAGGTCAAAGAAGCCAGATTCAGAAGGCTACATACTGTGTGATTCCATTTATCTGTCATTCTGGCAAATTTAAAATTATAGGAACAGAAACAGATCAGTGATTATCAGTGGCTGAGGAAAGAGGGAGGTGTTGACTACAAAGGATAATGATACAGTTTGGGGGGCTGATGAAATTATTTTATTTGTGGATTGTAGTGGGTGTTATATGATTTTATGTGTTTAAGAACTTTCAGAACTTTGCACTATAAAGGATGAATCTTACTGTATGTAAATTATATCTTAATTTTTGAAAAAAGGAAGTTGATGATAGAGACTTGGTTTGATCTTCTGGGTAGAGGCCTTGATATGAGATGGATGAAAAATTATGTGTTTTTATTAAACTAATAGCTAAAAAATTCATCGTGTACAACTTATCCCTGTGAAAATTTTTATTGTGATCTACATAGTTACAATTAGAGGCATGTTAAATTTTTTGCCCTCATTTAATTATAGGAATTTTGTGTTACAAAGTACTACAGGTACAAGGCCAGATCTAACCTCTCTATAAAAGGGTGAGACATCATAGTGTCAAAACAACTGCTTAATCGAGTCTAATTCATTTTCAAAATAATGAGTTTAAAGAATTCCATGTTCCTATTAAAAATCAATTAACTGGTTTTAATATTTTCAATCACATGTATTGGTGTGGAGTAGAAATATACTTTGCCCATGGATTACTGTAACCTCTACTGACCAGACCTGTGACTCCAAAGGACTGGAAGAGCCTGAAGAGACCAGGAAGGTGTTCCTCCCTCAGGGCTGTCATCTCAGTCCCTTCCCCATCCCCTTGCCCATCAGCTTCCCCTCTCCTTATAATTAGGATGAGTATCATTCTAAAAAGTTTTAAGTACAGTGAAATAAGATGTGATTTTGGAGGGAGAGGGGTAGCAAGGCACAGCGTACTATCCTCACATGGAAGAGTTGAACACCTGAGTTAATTTATTCAAGCCTTTGTAATAGACGGGCCTTTGCCATTCTTTCTTGATTTGTAGACGGATAAAGGTTCTTATCAATAATGGATTAACTCGTGTGTGGTGAATATTATTTTGTAGATGTCAGCAAACTTGTTTATCTAATCTCTTTATCTTGTTCTAGATCTAAATGTGATTTGATATTAATTGAGGATGGCGATATATAGTCACGCACACATACATACATCTCAGAATCCTACCCGTATCAGGTCTTATCATGTTTTTTACTTATCTCCTTGATAAAGACTTACCAGGTGCAAATATGGGAAGTTTGGTGGATTGAATTTGCATTTGTAATATGCAGTTCCAAAACCTTACTTAGCTGGATATTGATAATGAAGATGTTATCTCACCTTTTTCATGGGTGCAAGACCAGCTCCAAACAACATTTCAAAAGAGCTAAGTTTGTCCCAATTCTTGTTACTCTCTTCTCTCAACCCTTATTGCCTCTTTTAGAAAATACCCCAAATCCTTATATGACCTTAGAACCTCACCGTGAATGTCCCCTCCAGCCCACTCACATTCTATTGTAGCCTGTGTTCCAAAAATACCTACTTCTCATCTCCCTGACTTCCAAAATAGTGATACCTTTCACACAGCTGAGCTCAGCAAGGTATTTCACTGCAAATAATCTATTTGATCCAGTTTCTACCAAGATATGATTGACTGATACCTCTTTAAGCTTCTCAGAGTAGAGGATGCTTTTCTAAAGGAGGTTGGCTTTTAATCTAAATAAATTTCTACTTAGTGGAATTTCAAGTAAAGTGACAAAGAAAGAAAAGTAACACTTGTTTGAGGGGAAGAGAATCTGAGAAGGGGTAGGAAAGAACAGAGGGACAGGCAAGTAGGCCCCTTGGCCTCGCCTGGGATTCCCCACCCACACTTCTAAGATGTTCTTAATTTTCCCAATTATTCTCTTTCCTCTGATTTCAAATTTACACATTACCTTTACTCCCCTAGTTTCAGGTTCTGGCTTTGGGAAACTTTTGGACGGGGCCCAGGAAGGAAGAAGAGGATTAACAAAATGAGACACGTACCTCAGTATGCGTAAATTGTGTTTGTAAATCACTGAAAGGAACTATATTTAAATAGAAGCATAGAAAGTCTCTTCACCCCTCTAAGGAAGCAAGTGGGTGAATATGCATATTGGGGTGGGGAGAGAGATAGGCCAGGTTGCGATGTCTGGCTATATGCTCTCATACATTTGTACCTACATAAAGTGCTTATCAAAGAGACATTTTATTATATACAAAATTAATTTTTTATATTTTTAAATGTATCTTGACGTTTTCTCTAGGCTGGTAATATAACCCTTCAAGAGAAGATTTTACAGGTGAACAATTTGGTGGAAGCCTTTGGCAATGCCTGCACTGTTATAAACGACAATTCCAGCCGATTTGGAAAATACTTAGAAATGAAATTTACCTCTTCTGGAGCTGTAGTGGGAGCACAGATTTATGAATACCTTCTGGAGAAATCTCGAGTTATCCACCAAGCCCTGTAAGTTCACATCAAACATCTTCTATTTTCTGAGAAACAGCAAATATAGTGTCATAAGTGGCATATGTGTCATAAGCAACACGTGTCATACATGCCATGAGTGACATCTGTGAAATAAGTGACGTGTGTCATAAGTGGCATATGAGCCCCAAGCAGCTTGCTGTCATAAGTGATGTCATTAGTGGCACATGTGTTATAGGTGATGTGTCATCATGGAAATATGTGTCATAGATGATATACATGCCCTAAGCAACACGCGTGTCCTAAGCAAAATGCATGTCATAAATGACATGTGTCACAAATGCCATAGCAACAAAAATTCAATGAAATTTTATTGATTATCTACTACGTGCAGAGTACTTACTATTAGAAACAAAGAGGTCCCTCAGTACTGTCCTACCCTAACGTCCAGTAGAGGAGTTAAAAAATAACCTAAAATTGATGATGCCGGATAGAAAACCTATGCCTATCACAGATACGGACGGGATAAATTAGAATGATTTCTGAGATAAGAGAGAATATATTTCTTTACACAAAACTAATGTGAAATTTAATTAGAAATAGCAGTCATTTTATTCTTTTAATAAAAAGAATTTTAAAAAAGTATAAATAGGCCTTTGTATCAGTCCTGTTTTTCTTATGGTTATACACAAGGGACCAAATAAAGGATTCAAGAACAGGCTTTATTGAGTTGCCCTTTTTATTGCCAGCTGATTTAAGCCACCGATATGATGTTTTGGCATTAGGTTGAATGAGTTCTTTTTGGCAGTTTGTAGCTGAATGACCAAATTTCTCTCCTGGCCTAATGACTCCAAAACATCTTTGTCATTCTTATGAGGAAACTATAGTCATAACATTAGATTTCTACCCTGGTGGTTATACACACGTGCGTGTGTGTGCGCGCGCACGCGCGCACACACACACACACACACACACACATTTTTTAAGCAAGTTAGAGGCTTTCATATTTTTATGTTGATTTTATGCCAAACATATCTACATTATTGTGATAATATGTCATATGTTAAATTTATGGAAACACAAGCTCTTGTTATATATTGTACATTACTATTTAAGTGCCTTCAAATTTGCTATCAGTTAATTATGATCAAATTGTGAAGATAAGTTGCCTAGAGTCCAGCTTCTGAGCTCAACCCTCAATGTAGATAATTATCCTTTGGTCATCAATTCAGAATATGTAAGGAAAGAATATTTGACAGATATGGTTTTTAATTGTGTTTCTACTCCATGCAGGTTGACTTTGGGTAAGATATTTGAATTTTAAGGACCTTTCTAGGATCTTTGTTCTGCAACTTACTGAGTATGTGATTTGAAATACTTAACCTCTCTGCACTTCAGTTTTTCATCTTTAACATGGAAATAGCAATAGACCTATTGATTAAGATAATGCCTGTCAAGTATTTAGCACAATGACTAGCACATAGTAAGTTTAAGCCATTATCAACAGTACTAGTGTTGGTAGCAGAGTGAAGATTAGAAATAACATAATATAATCCTAATTATATGGGTGGCCTTGCTACCCATGCCTAGAGGAACCTCGGTCCTTCAGATCTTTGGGGCAGCTCTACCTGAGAGGCTAAATGATTGAGATTTAGATGGGGCCACCAAGTGGCACAAAGTCAGGGGGCACCATTCACAGTAAGTTCTATGGAGTTATGTGCAGGAGTGTCAGTCACATATAGAATAAATCGTGGACAGTAACCTCTGGAGCTATACAATGAGGCCCTGGATCTGTAACCATGGAAATAATCTCGAGAATGCCTATCAAAATTCTGTAGGAAATCATGCAATTAGGATTATATTTTAGACATACTATGAATTAAGTAAGCTTTTTTCCCAGCTGTCCTAAAGAGCTATTCTAGTTTTACAACATCATGTATTGTGGGAAAGCCCTCTAAGTTCCAAATTTACATTCAGGTTGAAATACAACTCAGTTATAATTTGAGCACAGCTGCCTTACAGTTTTTCCATTTTTTCTACAACTTTTTAAACTGAATTTCAGTTGCATTTTTCAATTCTACAGAAGCCTTTTGGGTCTGAGGTGGCAGAAAAGAACCAAAGCAAACAATTGTGTTGTTGTTGTTTTTTTTTAATGAATTTATCCTTTTTTAAAATGAATAAGTGCTTTTCTTCTCTTTTTGCCTCTGCCCATGTCATCCCACCCCAATGGTCATCTTTGACCATGTTTATTTTTATTTTTTTAATAATGGTACTATCATATAACTTGTGGCTTAAATCCTCTTCTCAATGTAGATGATTCTAAAGAAGAAATCCTTAAAAGAAGAAAGTGAGCTCATCGAAGTCAATGCTAGATAATTCTCGTAAATATAAATTATAGCTGTTTCACTGCATTTTTCTCCTGTCACTACAGTTTATTTCAGCATTGATTGCCTTTCCCTCACATGCCCAGCATTTTATCAGACGCTACAGCAGACGTCGACAAAGTGGCAGATGTGGTGCTCTCTACTCTGGAGGAAGGGACAGCATTATTTATGGAGCAATTACTAAAACGGAGACTAAGAGAATTGTAATAAGTTGCCTAATATCAGGAAGCTGATAAATGACTGAGTTGGGATTTGAACCCATGTCTCTCTGACTACAGTTCATTCATTCATTTATTCATTCATCCATTCATTTGGCAAATATTTATTGAGTGCCTACTACGTGCCAGGAATTTACTAGGCACAGTATGTGCAAAGCTAAATAAGATAGGATTCCTGCAGTAAAGCAGCTCACAGTCTCCTGGAGAGCCATGTACGCTTTGACAGAAAGCTTGCTGATCGCTTGTTGGTTTCTCATCTCTCAAGAAAGTAGGAATTGTGTTCATCTGCTAAGTGTGAGCAGGCAGTGGCTGGTAGAGGGATTGAGGAGACTGCATGTCTTGAGGAGGGACTTTTAGTGGAGGAAGCTGTAATTAAAAATGAAAAATTAAAAGCACTGTTTCATGAATATGAACGCAAAGCTGCATTGTTGGCTTTCTAAGCCTTATTGCGAGCCACCTTGTCAGAGATTCAGACATTTCACAGGTGGGATAAGCTGCAGCCTTGTGAGGAATTTGCCATGGTTTTGAGAGTGTTCGAGGCCTTGGCTGCACAGGTGGTCCCCAGGGTCCGAGGCAGGTGAGCATATATGAGACAGACCTGAGGACCTTCCTGCAGATGGCTGAGTGGGACTCTAAAGAAGTATTACAAGATATATTGTTGGGGTTGAGGCCAGAGACAGAGAAATACTATTTGGTAACTTTCTGAGGCTCTGTGTTTGTCCCCATGCCATTCCGAGCATGTATGCAAGGCTGTGGTCCTCTGTCTTAGGCACAGCTTTGATATAGTTAGGACAAGTCATGGAACTGGTAATTCTTGGCCATACCTTCTTTTCCTGTTTCTTTAACTCTCTGAATGTTTATCCACTAAAGGTTAGTCTATTTCCTATAGCACCTCCAGGTCCTGTCAAATTACAGTTCTCAGTATGCATAAACTGGTAATTAAAGAGAAAACCACCAATTTTGTGTGTCTACATTTATGAGTCACTTCTCTAATTGTACATTGCATCATTTAAGCGTTAAAGGTGTGACACACCGAGCAATCAATGTGATTTCATTAGAACAAAGCACACTGAATTATAGGCTGTGCCAGTCTTAGAGAAGTTTTGTTATTTTGTGGTGAGAAAAGACAAGAACTAAACTTACGGATCTGTCCTAACCTTGCTCCGTATACAGTGTTAGTGTTCATTGAGGTGTTATTGGTGACTGCAACAGATCATGACTTGGGGTGTGACTATAACCATTCTGAAGGATGTGCCAGTTCTCACTTCAGCATCTCAGCTAGGGGACCACTGCTTTTCTCGAAAAGCTCACCTGCTTTTTCTTCTGTGAGTGGATTCCTGATTTTTCTCACACCTCTGAATTTTTCACCTCTGACTCAGATTCATCCATCCATTCTCAAAATGTGTATTTGCCAAAGATTTGTCTTTGGAGTGTTTCTCTTTTCTCTCTTGAATCAATCTCTCTCTTTCGTTCTCTTTACACACACGCGCGTGCACATACACACACACCCACACACACACACCCTTTTGGTCCTGTTTCTCGGAAGACCTCTGACCGGTGCAGTGGCAGGGAGGAGCACTGTGCAGCGACAATTTGGTACCTCCTGACACAGACCCTCTTGGAACACCCAGAGCTTTGTGATGGGGTGGGACTCTTATACTAACTGAAAGAGGAGTAATACAAAAAGGAATAAAGACAGCAAGGCTTTAGGTTTTGAGGGTTGTAATTAATTTCGTTCCTATAGAAGGAACCCTTCTCTGTCCCAACCCCGGTCTCGTGATCCTGGTGGTAATGGAGTGAGTGGTCAAGGAAGGATTGAGGACCACCCCAAAGGAGAGGGAGGTGCCGTGGGAGCATCAGAAGGGCAGTGCCACAAGACAGATGCAAACCCCAGGGTCTCCCAGACAACCGTCACGGCCATCAGAGTAGGAGCAAAGCAGGCCAAAGAGGAACAGTGGAGACCGTGAACCTGTAATGTAGGAAGATCATTCTGTTTCTGAAGAGGACTTGCCCGATCCTGGAGAGGAAGCGTGAGCCATCCCGGGAACTCTCCAGAGCAAAAGGAAGACGAGGAGAGGAGGAACGCTGAAGTCCCCGCGGTGATGTCGTGGACCATGCGGAGCCTGAGATGGACCCTGCTGTGACCCACATTCCCTTAACTGTATGATTCCAGAATCTGGGAAATGCTCTTTATGCACAGAACCACAGAGTCATGGACCTTGAGACTCCTAAGAAACACATGCGTCATACAAGTGAGAAAACCAAGCCCCAGAAAGGCAGCGTAACAAGGTGGTTAAAGATGCGAGCTTTGGACTGGAGCAGCCCTGGTTTGAACCCAGAGATTAGTAGCCCCTCTGAGCCTCAGTTTCCTTGGATGTGAAATGAGGGAACCTCCTGAATAACTAGGGGATATGGCAGGTAAACGAGATAATGTAGCACTTGAGGTCATCTGGCATGCTGTCTATGTATTATTAATTTGATCCTTTTTCTGTCTGTACCACTTGCACGTGAACTCCAAGAATTTAGTGGTTTTTGACTGTTTTGTCCTGCTACATCCCCAGTGCCCACAACAATGCCTGGTAGCATAAGTGTTGAATGATTTATATAAAGTACTCAGCAATTTATATGAATTTAATGACAGTGGTTGTTGAAAATAATAATAACGATAGCAAACACAGAAAGCCAAATTTTGGGAAGCCCACATTGGCACGCGCAGCTGTTGTTTTTCTGATAATTATATTGCCAAGTAATTTGAATGATTAATAAATATTCTTACTAACCACCTTACTGAAAACGTCTTATTTTTGCAGTGGAGAAAAAAATTTTCATGTTTTTTACTACATCTACGCTGGTTTAGCTGAAAAGAAGAAACTAGCCCATTACAAATTGCCTGAAAATAAGCCTCCCAGGTAACCCAGCAGGTTGTACTTTCATAAATAAAACTTTCACTTTCCACTTAATTTTAGATTTTCATCCATCCTTTCATTTTTTTTTTCCAGATACCTACAAAATGACCACCTCAGAACAGTACAGGATATGACGAATAATAGTTTCTATAAATCCCAATATGAGTTAATTGAGCAGTGTTTCAAAGTCATAGGTTTTACAATGGAGGTAAGTAGGAAAGACATTTGAACCTCTTGAGGTTCAAATCTTTTTGTTGTTACTAATGATGAATTAGCATTGATCGAGTGATTAGTATATGCCAAGCATTGCGCTAAGGGCTTCACATGGATCACCCTTGTAATTACTGAAACAACCTTAAAAAATAACTAGAATTTTAATATTTACTTTACAAATGAGGAAACAGTAGCCTAATTGAATTTGGTTTTGTTCTTAATCTTTTATGTTACTTATATTTGCATCTCCCTTGTATATATAAAATTTTATACAAATACATAAATGTGATCATATTACATGCTGTTTTCTCGTATAGTCTCTTTATAACTTTATTAAGATATAATCCCGCTGCTTCTGCATTTGGCAGCTGTATCACAACCATTTGTTGACAAGATTGTTCTTCCCCATTGATCAATCTTGGCAGCCTTGTCGAAAATCAAGTGACCACAAATTTATAGATGGACTTTTGAACTCTGCATTCCATTATATTTCTCTATATGTCTGTCTTTATGCCAGTACCACACTGTCTGGATTACTGTCGCTTTGTAATAAATTTTGAAATTGGGAAGTGTGAGTCCTCCCACTGTGTTCCTTTTCCAGATTGTTTGGGACCCATGGATTTCTATATGAATTTGATCAGCTTGTCAATTTCTAGTGAAGACTTTTTAAAAACCACTTTTTTCAGTTCTCTCTTCTCTCATCCCACTCTGTTCCATCCATATCTGCTCTTTTTCCCTTCCGCCAGCTAATGGATCTTAAAACCTAGTGTACAGAGTCCAACATTCCATATTTATCTCCCTGCTCAGAAAATCCTACTCATAGACACGTAACACACACACACACACACACACACACACCACCACCGCCACCACCACCACCACCACCACCACCACCAATATGGGATTATATTACACACACTCTTCTATATGTGTTTTTTCTCAGCAACATTTAGTGAAAATCCCTTTAAGTCACCTAGTATCACACTAAATCAGTTATCTTAAAGCCAACATAGGATGCCATGGTGTTTACTATTTATTCAGCCATTCAGCTATGGCTGGGAATATAACTCTTAAATGTTTCCAGATCTTTGTCACCATGAGCAAAGCCAAAATATGTCTTTATTAACTAGCGCTTTTATTTTTATGGGATAGGTCTCTAGTAATACGATTGCTGGGTCAAAGGGTATATGTATTTTTAAATTTGAATATGAATTGCAAGATTGCCTGGAACCCTTCACATTTCTACCAGCAATGTGTGTGAGTGTCCTCCCACATCTGCTGACAATGTGTTGTGGCTTCTTAAATATTTATTAGTCCGATAGGCGGAAGTTAAATCACATTTCAAGTTCACATATCCTTGACTAATAGTGAATTCAGACATCTTTCCATTTGTTTTCTGGCTGCTTGGGTTTGTTTTTTATGAATTGTATATTTATGTATGTCACCATTTTATTGAGTTATTTCTATGCTTTATGTCAATTTATAAGTTCTCATTGAATATTGTAGACATTCTATTTTTCTATCATTTGTATTGTAAATATGTTTCCAGTTGCATGGCTTGTCCATGACCTACTTTTTATAATATCTTTTACCATACAAAAACATACTTTCAATTTTTGGATGTTTAAACAAATTTATCTTTTTGTTTATAATATCTGGGTTTCTAGCCTTGGTTTAAAATTTTCCCCTGTCTCTATATTGTACATGTAGTTGCTTAGATTTTCTTGAAAAGTTTTTTTTTTTTAATTTTGTCTTTAATCCATTCAAAATTTTTTTTACATACAGTCCCAGATGGGGTAACACTTTTATTTCCTTCCAATCGGAGAGCCAGTTGTGCCTCACTATTGTTAAAAACTATACCCTTTTTCTCACTAGATTGACTTATCATATGTTAAGGCCTTATATAACATGGAATCTGTTTCTGATGTCTCTATTTTACCCACCAGTTTCTGTTTCTGTTTCTACACTAATATTCTGTTGACTTGATTAGGGTGGTTTGATACTATGTTTTTCTAGTAAAGCATCCTACCTAGTAAGGCAAGTCCTGTTCTCACGTTCTTCTTTTCCTTGCTTTTCTTAGCTGTCGTCTGGCATTTGTTTGTCCATATAAACCTTAAGATCAATTATTTCAATTCTCAGAACGCAGTTGGAATTCTAATTAGAATTGTATTAAGTTTATATATTACTTTGGGGGCATTGTCGTTTTCATGATGTTATGTCTTCTCGTTCCAAATCATGATATACCTTTCCATGTGTTTAAATGTTGCTTAAGTGTTTGATAATTTATAGTTTTATTTATCTAGAACTTAAGCTTTATTTTAAAATTTCTTTCTAACTGTGTTATGGTTTTGAGTGTTATTATAAATGAAATATTTCTTCCATTGGTAGACTTTTCTGAATATATAATCATGTCATCAGCAAAAAGAAGTTTTACCCTTTTGTTCTGTGTTGTCAATCATTTCTTTTTCTTTTGTATTTTTATAGCATCTAAGATTTAGAGTGTAAGTCAGTATTAAGCAATAATGATTATAGCTTGCCCCCTGTCTAGTTTCTGATTTTAAGTGAAATGGTTTTAGTGTTTTGCTCTTATTTCTGATAAAGAACATTTATCACAAATAATTTCTTTTTATTGCTACTTTGCTTGAGGTTTTTATTAAGAATC